CTGCTTACGTAAATTAATTTCGTCTCAAATAGTTGCTATAACTAAAATAGCATTTATTTGAAAAAATATGTTATACAAGTTTTTTTTATAGCAATACTTCTGGGAAAGCTTCTGTCGTCAGACTGCTGCGAAAAAGCGGAAAATGATTCTGACGTGATAAGTGAGGTGTTGGAGAAAATTATTGATTATGCGGAGAAGAAATGCCCTTTCAACTATCATGGCATAGAAAATTCCCATTTTTCTGATTGCGATTCAAATTATGTTCCTACTGATGACAATGCTGAATCAGTGATGAAGCACGACATGTAAATAATAATAAACCAAAGCTAAAGCGAAAAATGGCAATAAAGAACAAGGAATGTAAAAAACGCTTAAGAAAAGATAATGAGTGGATGGATAATAAAGCTAAAAAGCAACTTAATCTGGGAAATAAACATGAAAATCGAGTAGGTAAAGTAATTTCATGTAGAATGATGAGAGGTCCATGCAAGGAAAATTGTAGAAATAGATACAAGTAAAAAATTCTGGAAAATAAGGGGCCGTTCAAGTATCACGTGAGCACTATGGGGGGGCGGAGGGGTCTTGGCTTTGCTTATGTTGGATTACATGGGGGGTAGGGGAGTCTAGATGATGATTACGTCATCGGTAGTTATTTACTTTTTTACACGAATGGCAACCCTGACATTGTCTTTGCTTGAAAACGAAACGCATTTTCGGGGATTCCCGGAAATAATGCATACGTTTAGTAAACAGAGCGCGGTAATTCCCCTATTCGCTTTAGAACCGAGTAGGGGAATTACCGCCGCGGTGTTCACTTGTCTAAATTTCTTCTATCAGTGTATTGTTTCGTTTTAATACTATAGCGAGTAGTCGTATTGTAAGCATAGTAAAGCAAGTTAACATTTGTGTTACCATTGATTCCATTAGCCAAAGTTTAAAGTTTAAATAAGATAGACAAATCCAAGTTATACCAAAGATTGTTTGAAAGTTTTACAAAATCTCATACAAGTACAAAATGTACAAAAGTTAGTTCACGAAGGGTGGCGAAATTACAAATTACAAGCAAAATCCGACAAGGAACTAGATATTATTGTATCTAAGAGAATCGAAGAAGAATTGCAAGCAGCGACTAAGAATAAATACAATCTATTAAATTTTTTTTCTAAGGTGAGCGACGAAATCATTCTAGGTACCTATGAGTACTACAAATATTAGAAATCGCCAAAAACTTTCTCTTTACTGATTAGAAAATATTATGGCCTATCTCAAAGTACAGAGGTAATATTCATTATATTTTAGATATATTTCTTATGATTGATTCCGTCAATTGATCACAAAGTACAGGATGCTAGTTTTATACATATATACAGAAAACTAACACCCTGTATTGTGTGACCGGAACGAATTGCTCGTTTAAACATATTAGATTTAAAGCCATATGGTTTTTTATTTACCATATACATTGCCATACTTTGTATTTATGAAGCTTAATAAGAGAATCTTTAGCAGAAGCCATAGAAAGTTTTTATTTTTAGGCAACCTGTAAACCTACAGAAAAAACAAATTATACAGTCAGCTTCAAATATTAAAACAGAGGATAAGGTAAAATAAAACCCGGTAATGAATCACAACAGCAATGCGAAATTAATGAAAATACGGATAAACAGAGAGCAAAACCTTCTCAGGAAGCTATGAAAAATAAGATTGCTCTACTCGAAAAAAATCTGAATGCTTTGTATTCTGCCAGAGATACTATGCCAAGCCGTGCTGAAGTTGATAAACAGATCATTAAGTTGCGCGAGGAAATAAAAACAGCAAAACAGTCTTTAAACAGGAAGGTTCAAAACGCAGTTGCCCAGAAGAAACACAGGGATGGTATGAAAAGAAAGTTAGAAGATATTTCTCATGAAAATCCAGAAATAAAAAAAAACTCTCTGAGGGATTCAGTGGGACGTCCTAATCTTGAAAGCAATCAACATTCACTATTGAAAACAATCGCGGATATAGCTTTATTTGGGAGTGCAGCAGATGATAGAAGACGAACGGAATCAATTCGCAGCGTAAAAACTCCTCATGAACTCACGCAAGAATTACGTAAAATAGGATTTGACATTAGTCGCAGGGGGATATATTTTCGTTTGATTCCCAGAAAATCTGATTCTGCATAGGGACGAAGACATGTATCGACAGTCCCTGTTAAGCTCATTCGGGCTCAAACTGATCACCACAAGAGCCACTTAGATAGCAAAATCGCTGAAACATCAATCCATTATTTAGAGAACATACCATCCATACTTGGACCAGATCAAGTATTCTTCATATCTCAAGATGATAAAGCTCGAGTCCCTATTGGCGTAACTGCGGCAAATAAGCAAGCACCTCTTCTAATGCACATGGAATATAGAATCAAATTGCCTGATCACGATTGGGTAATCGCTGAGCGTCATAAATTAATACCATCTGTTTATGCTGGTATCAAAATCACTTCTAATATGCTAGGACAACCGCAAGCCATTGGATATTCTGGACCAACATACATCGCTATTCGAAGTTCATCTACTGCTAATACTCATGCTCAGGATTTCGAGACGCTTCTCGGACTTGAAGAGTTTCGACCATTAGCTAAAACTGACCATGGATTAGTAAAACCAGTGGTAATCATGACGGTTGATGGAGGGCCAGATAAAAATCCACGTTATCAAAAAGTCATAGGGTTTGCTATACAACACTTTAAGCGACATGATCTCCATGCATTGTTTTTAGCTACCAATGCTCCTGGAAGAAGTGCGTATAACAGAATAGAACGCAGAATAGCTCCTCTTAGTCGGGAACTGGCTAGTTTAATATTGCCTCATGACCATTTTGGGTCTCATTTGGATGAACGTGGCGTTACAATTGATGAACATTTAGAAAGATCTAATTTCGAATTTGCGGGAAATGTATTAGCTGAAGTATGGAGTTCAATGGAAATTGACGGCTATAATGTTAATGCAACATATGTTGGGGCAGGTGAACAAGATCTTCCTGATTTTCCAGACATTAAATGGTATTCAGAACATGTGCGTGAGAGCCAATACTTGCTTTAAATTGCAAAATGTAGAAATACAGAATGCAGTCGTCCAAGAAGTGGCCTATTTAGATTACTAGACAATAGGTTTCTTCCACCACCTGTAAAAGTAAAACAAACAGTTGATGACTTGGTTTTGGACGAAGGAGGGCAATTTCTTAATCTTCCAGTCAATTTAGCTCTACGCTTAAGTGCTTCACTCAAAGATTTCCTGCAAATGCCCTACGATTATTTTTATCCGACGGCAAAATTGAGGCTATCAAGTCGAACATGCAAAACGTGTGGTCTTTATCATGCTTCCGTCAAGTCACTAAATCGTCACATTGAAAATATCCATAAAAAAGTAAACACGCACACTGATAGGAGAGTTAGACCTGTAAGGGTCGCTGCTCGTCGTGCTAATGAACTGATGTGCATTATTCAAAATCTAGAGCACCATGATGTTGAATGGCTCGATGAGAACGACGTAGACTTTCCAAAATCCGATGAAAGCAAGCAAACTCACAACACTGAGCAGCAATCGAAGCAATCCAATGTCATCGAAAACTTAGAATCATGGATTTGGGTTTCATGGACTGAAGACTGTTAATTTGAATTTAATATATGTACCAAAGATTTAAAATCGGTTTGTTATGTTAGTAAGATATCCTAAATCTATTTTCTTATTTTTCAAATTATAATTATAACGTTATAATTATAATATTAAAAAAACAATACATTAATTGACAAATGTTTACGTAAGCATGGGGGGAGGGGGTAAGAGCTTTGATTACTTTTGCTGACAAGGGGGATGGGGGGTAAATAATTATAATAAATCTGCTTACGTAATACTTGAACTAAGAGGCAAAAAATATTTGAAAATTTTTGGGGACTGGGAGATCATACAAGGCAATGGGGTTTCGTCTGAAAATGTGTTCACCAAGTAGAAAAAAAGCAGATAATTAATAAAAGGCGCAATTTGAAAAAAATTGTAGAAGGTGGTACTTTAGAAAAAGATATGGGGGGACGCCATAATGTAAGACCCAACAAAATTGCAGAAGATCTTAAGGATAGAGTGAGAGCTCATATTAAATTGTTTCCAATAGTTCCTTCTCATTACATTAGAAAACATTCAAACAAAATGTATTTAGAGGAAGGTTTAAATATCACGAAAATGTACAGAATGTACAAAGAGCATATTGGAACCAATGGAGCTCAGTTTGCAACTGTACGGCAGTATCGGGAAATTCAATATTGTATTCTTCAAACCAAAGAAGGATCAGTGTCAACTATGCACGGCTTACAAAGATGCTGATAATGATATAAAATTGAATATGCAAGAACAATATGATCAGCACTTAGCCAATAAAGGTGCAGTCAGGAACTTGAAAGATGTGGATAAAGAGCTGGCTACTAATGATAAATCTTTATGTGTTGCATGTTTTGACTTGCAAAAAGTGTTGGTTACGCCTCAGTCAGAAGTAAACACATTTTATTATAAAACTAAAATTGCAACGTATAATTTTACAGTCTATGACATAGGTAACAATGAAGGGTTCTGTTATGTCTGGTATGAAGAGGTGGCAAAACGAACGTCAAAGGAAATCAGCAGTTGCCTATTGGACTTTCTGAAAACACAAAAAGCTAAAGGGGTTAAAAGTGTTATGTTATATTCCGACAATTGTGGGGGCCAAAATAGGAACCGTTTTATTTTCTCCATATTCGCATATGCTTCTAACATTCTCAACATGAAAATAACACACAGATTTCTGGAAAAGGGGCATACACAGAACGAAGGAGATAGCATGCATGCAGTGATTAAGACAGCTAAAAAGCGATAGGGTGCTGTCTACACCCCAAGTCTATGGATAACATTAATAAAAATGGGGAAGCTAACTGAAAAAGTCTACATAGTAAAGAAATGTCCCAAGCAGACTTCTTAAAATTTTCTAATATGGTTAAAAATCAGAATTGGAAGAAGGACGAAACTCATGATCAAATAAAAATTAGTAAAATCCCGGAATTGTCGTGGTTATCAGAAGAAAGAAATACTGTCCAGTTTAAATATGAATTTGCAGAATCACCAAGAATTCTAAGCCTAAAGAAAATTAGGCGCAGTCAACTTCAAACTTGTAGTATTCAATTGCCTCAACTATACATTTCTCCTCTCCCTATTGACTGTAAGAATTTACAAGGATTGCTACAGCTTTGCAGAGGAGACAGACTACCTCGTATGTACTATAATTTCTTTTTTTCTCTAAAATCGAAGGGAAGAACTCTGACGAAGGATAGTAAAAATCCGAACTCTGAAGTTTCCTTGAAGAAGATGATTTTGAATAGAAATTAATGTATTTCATCTATTTTTTAAAGTATTTTATAAAGTTTCTGAATTAAAATGTTTAGTTATAAAGTTTCTGTACTAAAATTTTGGTTCAAAATGATCGTATGTCGTTTTTCTTTCATAAATTGTATGTACATATAGTAACTCTATAAAAAAGGGGGTAAAATAAGATAAAATGAAAGTTATTTTGGTGAGAAGTCTTGGGTTTGACATTTAAATCAACATAAAAAAGTTTCGTTTTCAACGGTTTCTTTTTGGCTATTTTGAAACCCGCTAACTAATGACATAAAAATTAAAAGCCAATTTTCTCAATTCTATCAAAAGTGACTTACTACAGTCTTCGTTGCATGAGTCGAAAAGAAAACTATAACGAGCTCTAACTGGCAAAGTAAGAACTTTTGCATACGGATAAATCATGTCCAATCGACTTATTTTGAGTCTAGATATACGTTGGACTTCCATATATACGGAAAATTGGGACACTCTATATGCGAATAAAATGCCTAGTGTTGGATATAAAGGGAGAACACAACTGATGCAAATGAACCTGTTTTGGCTTAAGTCATAAAGTTTCAGAATTTTTATCAAATTGCATAAGGGTAGGTTTTTAGTGAGAGCGAGATCGGTTACCCTTTTATTATAAAGTCCTCCATATTTTTACCAAAATAAAGCTTATAAACCCTATTTGATGAGCACCCATTACGTTTTGACGTCTACTGAGGTGAATAGCTGATCAGCAAGTGCATCTTTGTATTATTTTATAACGTTAGCAATAATGAATGGAGTAGTAAAGCTTAGGATCATATTCACAGCTATTGTCCACATATTTTGATACTTTTAAGCCCGATTATAGTAACAGGAGATCAAAATGTTTGATCAAGAACAAAATGGATCAAAGAGAAAGCATCCTTCTAGGAATGGATCTACGAGCCCCTTCCCACTTCAGTTGGCCCACTTCAAGATTTGTACCAAAATATGACTTTATAAACTAAACATGACGAAACTACTTATTTCTAAAACAATTTATTTTCTCTAAAACATTTCAGATACACTCTAGTCGTAAAAAACACATATTTGAAATCACTTAAACCTATAACTAATAGAACATCTGAACAAATAAACAATGTGCGAATAAATTCGCGAAGATAACAAAGCAACAATTGAAAGATTTCCATTGGGTAACATCACCTTCATTTTTTATTACGGCTGAAATTCTTTGGGGTATGCCCCAACACTATGGTGTTAACCCAGTTATGGCAAAAATTTGGTGTAAAACAATCCCATATTTCTTGAAGCTTTTGTCTCAGTTCGGTGATTGTACGAGCAGGATGTTGTCGTAGAACCTTTTTCATCTCGTGCCACAAAGTTTCAATAGGTGACAGATCTGGACTGCTAGAAACCCATTTCAAAAGCGGTAGATTATTTTATTCCTTCCATTTTATAGCCTTTTTTGAGGTATCGCGCTGCACGATCTTGCTGAAACACAAAATCTTGGCCGGACGTCAAACATTCTTCCATCACTGGTAAAAGCGATTCTTCTAAAATTGCAAAATATTTGTTTGTATCCACATTTCTACCAATAAAATGAAGTTCTCCTACTCCTTTCGATGACTGATACTGCCCCAGACCATAATGGATGCCGGAAATTTCACTTTTCTCTCCAGACAGTCAAACTGCGACTGTCACCAACACGAACTTCGAATCGGGCCTCATCACTCCATTGTATTGCACACCATTGGTGAGGTGTGTCCATTGTCTATGTTCCTTAGCCCATCTGAGCCGATTTTTCTTTTGCAGTGGAATTAATAGTGGCTTTTCTTTGGCCTATAAACAAGTCGTGCAACTCTAATTCACTCTTTTTTATGAGAAAACTTACTTTGCAAGTGCTAAATCCCAGTTTGTGGGTCTCTCTCGAAATTCTCCTTCCAACAGCGTCACTCCACAGAGCACTTAATTGTAAATAATTGGCACGCATGTTTTTCACGATTATTCTTCTTAATGCTCTTCGGTCGGCATTAGTGATATTACTTTTTTCACACATAATACTAACTGGACCAGTTACTTTATATCTTCTAACAATATTTCTCACACTGTATCGCAATAAGTCTAACAAAGTTGCAATTTCTGAGTTTGATTTCCCAGAATTAAAAATTTAATTATCAGTAACCGAATTTTCTCACTAATAACCTTTCCTCTACCCATTTTGAAAACCTTAACTACCCAAAAATATTTTAAACGTATTCTGACAGCTGTGGTTAATAAAAACAATTGTCATGGCTTTTATTCTTCACAGCCACTTATGCATTATAGACTTATTTTGCATTGAAATTAAAATAGGTTGATATGGTGTAATTGCAACATGTGTTATTTTTATGCTGCAAATTTGATTAGGGAGTGATAAAGTTGGTGTTTTCTACTATATATTATCAAAATATTCATTGTTAATATTTTAAATCTATAACATCCTGCTACATTTTTATTATTTGTGTTTGATAAGAAAAAAACTAAGACTTCAATATTTGGGCCAACTGAAGTGGGAAGGGGCTCGTAATGATTACAGTCGATTTTTGCTGAAATATCTTTCAAGCTAGCAAACAAATGTACTATTTGCGTAAGGAGGGCCTCTAATTCCCATATAAAATAAAAAAATTATTTTTAAATCACCTGGTTTAGCTACAAAAACATATTTTTTCCACTTGATCTGGAGATCAAAACCGTCGATTCGGATCAACAATGACCAATTAGAAAGTAGAAGAAAGTCGGATCAAAAATTGGTCATTCGGAGGGCCCCCTTCCCGAATCGTGGATCAAATTTGATATAATGCTTAGAATGAAATGACGTCAATTACGGGGTACTTTATTGAAAAGAACAGTATATTACTTACCCGAAAGAGATAATATTATAAAATAAGATATCTTTTTAAAAATGCATCAACGTGTTGTGATTGTTGTTTAAATTGCCATTTAATGTAATTTGTAGATATATGAACCACTGTTTGGTACACACAACCTCTGTTCGTGCGCGAAATTTATGGAAAGTAATGGATATCATATTTTTGATAAAAAGTATTTCAATATACGTAAAACGTACTTACGTTTCTAGTGGAAAAGAAAGTCTTTATTATATTTGAAACGGCTCGAGTATTACGTATCTTGAAAAGTCACATGGTAATGGTTTTTTATGGCAGTATGTAGGTTTTTATACAAGATTTTAACTTGGCACTAGTGCTGAACACTTGTTGGAACTCGTTTTGTTGTACGTGTACTATAGGTAGAAAGAAACGGCAATGGATAGGTGCATCGTGAGGATTTGTGTGCTAATATGATTGGGTTGATAATTACATTGGATTCTTGCCTCAAATACACTCACTTGAGATTCAAAGCTAGAAATGAGTTGCGCATCCACTTTTTCTTATTCATCCTGGAAATAACATGCAAATTTACTGAATTTCAACAATGGGAGAGATAAGAAAAGAAAATCTCTGGTTGGTAAAGGAACAGGTGAGAAAATATGCTACAGACAGGAATATTAATGAAAATGAAAAGGTTAATACATTACTTTTTATTTCTAGTCATTTGAATTTTATAGAAATTTATTTTGCGAATGGAAAATACAAATCAGCGCCTAGATGTGAGACATTGCGGAAATGTTTGATGTGTGATTCGTCATTACTAAGTTTTCTGTGATGCGGCTTGATTCACACAACGCGGGAGTGGTGGCGATTTCTTGTAGTACTCCTCAAAGTTTTAGTAAACACAAAAAAAACTGGAAAAATCTTAATTTATAAATTAGAACATACCTGTCTTCAGGAAGGACAACATATAAATAATCCGTCGGTCACAGCTAATACATATATACTTCGTTAGCAGCATGTTCAGTAATAATTTTCTCACACAGCAAATATCACTGATTTTGTACACATGCAGACCAATACAAATAATCATCCAGATGCGATCTTGCTATTCAAGAAACTTTTTTTGTTTCACATTTTCTCAGATATCAAAACCACAGACTACTCGGCTTCACAAAACATATGCAACCAACAATGAGGGTAGTTGGAGTCATTCCTCCATAGATGGATGCTCACAACGGTCCTAATGACCAAACGTGTAATGACTGTTTGCACCCTAAAAACTACCAAGTCTACATGATGACATTTTGTAGGTTTTTTTGACGTTTTATCGGTTTTTTACATGATACCCGTGCGGCACCGGTGTCACGTATCTTGAATTTTGACAATTTGTCGTTTTTTGACATTTCGTAGTTTTTTCGTGACATAACGTAGGTTTTTCTACGAGATGTTAAGTTAGCACAAGCTGTTGTACACTTGTTGTGAACTCCTTTTGTAGCTACACGTGTTGCTTAAGCGTCAACGAACAGCGATTATAGCGAGTAGCCTGGAACTAACTGTTTGCACACATAAAACTACCTAGTCAACATTAGCCGTTTTTTTTTTACGTTTTGTGGGTTTTTTACATAATGCCCCTCACTTGCATAAATCTGCAATAAAGCAACTGTGTGAACCTTTCTTGAATTCAAAAATATCGTATTGCTTAATGGTTTACTATCCCTATTTAGATATATATATATATATATATATATATATATATATATATATATATATAAAGAGAAAATTATCACGTGGAGAAAGGTATATAACAAAAATAGGAAAATAATGGGCAAAATCCGCAAAAAGTGGATTCGAGCAGCGATACGTATCGCTCGGGTTACCTATCCTATTTTCTGCTCGAATACCTACACTTTTTGCGGATTTTGCCCATTATTTTCCTATTTTTTTTATATACCTTTCTCCGCACGATAATTTTCTCTTTGTAGATCCTTTGGGCCTGAAGTACCACAGCAAGTGGTTATAACCGGCCGCGTGGTTG